GTGTGTGTGTGTGTGTGTGTGTGTGTGTGTGTGTGTGTGTGTGTGTGTGTTTTGAATACTCAACCAGGGCTGAAAAGAGCTGAGCCCATTGTAAAGTGCACAGCACAGTTCCTGTCACAGATCTGAGAATCTGATTTTGATCCCCAGGTCCTACATTTTTTAAAAAGAGGGATTAGCGATGTACCTGTAACCCCAGCAACTGGGGAGGCAGAGAGGAAGACCCTTGGGGCTCACTGGTCAGCTGAGTTCCAGGCCAGTGAGAAACCCTCTCTCAGAAAAAAAAAATGGACAGCTTCTGATGAACAACACTTCAGGTTTGTCCTCTGGCCTTCACATGTATGTATGCACACTCACACATACACACACAGGCACATACAGAGACAGACAGACTGACTGAGACGGAGAACACAACTCATAATGAGTCTCTCCTGAATGTGTACAAATGTTTTAGTTATCACTCCCTAAATAACGATATAATTATAGTTGATATCTGTCTCTCCAGATGTTTTCACCCTTGACTCCCACCACACACACACACACACCTCTTGTTGGCTCCTCCCATTATAGCTTTTTCTTTTGCTGTGACCAAACACCATCTTAGAAGAGGAGAGGATTTATGTCACCTTACAGCCCAGGTCACAGTCCTTCACTGTCTCTAAGCAAAACTGCTCTTGAGTCACTGTCATAAGCTACTGAATCCCCCCAAATTAGCTCTGGAGCAGTGGTTCTCAACCTGTGGGTCATGACCCTTTCATAGGGGTCACATATCAGATATCCTGCATACCAGATATTTACATTATGATTCATAACGGTAGCAAAATGACAGTTATGAGGTAGCAATGAAAATAATTTTATGGTTGGGGGTCACCATGAGGAACTAGATTAAAGGGTTGAAGATGGTAGATAGATAGATAGATAGATAGATAGATAGATAGATAGATAGATAGATAACATATTCTAATAAAAATATATTTGATGTGAAAAGACACCATGACCACAGCAACTCTTACAAAAGA